AATTATTAGCTGAGGATACATTTGTAACCACTTTATTAAATGTTATGGGGTTATATGAAAAATTTGTTGGTGTTAGAGGTTTGGTGTTAAGAGAAAATGTTTTATAAGATTTTGATCCCAAACCACCGGCAGACCTACGATCTCCTCCTCGAAACACTTAACAACAGTAGAATTCTGGAACCACCATCGACCAACTTTTCTCAATGTACAGTAGAATTCGTTGGTTTACCAAGGCGAGGTTTTTCGGTACCGGCGTCACGAGGCACGTATCGTCACGCGCTTCCACTGATCGGAACGGCTTGAAGGAGATACTGAGAAAGATCGGTCCACGTCGCAGCGTTCTCTCCCTGCTTCAAGATTGGGTCGACTCAGGCCATGTCGTCTCGTCATCCGAGCTCCGGCTCATCTCCAATCGCCTCCTTAGATCTAATCGCTACGATCTCGCACTCCAGGTTTGAGTTCTCGCTTAGGATTTAGGTCGATTTTTGATACAGGAATCATTGGCACCCCCCAAGTTTTTTAGATTTTGCCAGTCATGTACAGATAATGGAGTGGATGGACACTCAAAATGATGTTGCCTATGATCCTGCTCTTAGATTGGAGCTAATTATCAAAAACCATGGATTGAAAGACGCAGAGGAATATTTTGAGCAACTACTCACTTCTTCTACCTCGCTGAGAGTAGCGAAATCAGCTTATCTTCCTCTTCTTCGTGCTTATGTTAAGCGAAAATTGGTTAAGGAAGCCGAAGCTCTCATGGAGAAGTTGAACGGGTTGGGGTTTCTTGTCAATCCACACCCTTTCAATGAGATGATGAAGCTTTATGAAACCACTTACCAATACGACAATGTAGTTATGGTTATCTCGATGATGAAACGGAACAAGATACCGAGAAATGTTCTCTCCTACAATCTCTGGATGAACGCATGCTGTGAAATATCTGGGGTTGCAGCTGTGGAAACGGTTTACAAGGAAATGGTTGGTGACAAGAGTGTCCAAGTTGGCTGGAGCTCGTTGTGTACACTTGCAAATGTCTATATTAAGGCTGGTTTTCTTGACAAGGCGAATTTGGTGCTTGAGAGCGCAGAGAAGACGTTGAATAGCAGGAATAGGCTCGGATATTTCTTCCTCATCACACTTTATGCCTCTCTAGGAAATAAGGAAGGAGTGATTCGTCTGTGGGAGGCGTCTAAATCTGTTTGTGGCAGGATTACTTGCGCAAACTACATCTGTGTATTGTCATCATTGGTGAAACTTGGTGATCTTGCAGAGGCAGAAAGGGTCTTCGATGAGTGGGAGGCCAAATGCTATAACTATGATGTTAGGGTGTCCAATGTTCTTTTGGGTGCTTACGCTCGTAATGGACAAATCCGCAAAGGCGAGGCATTGCACAACCGTGTGTTGGAGAGAGGAGGTACTCCAAACTACAAGACTTGGGAGATCTTGATGGAGGGATGGGTGAAATGTCAAAGCATGGAAAAAGCCATTGATGCTATGCACCAAACATTTCAGCTAATGAAACACTGTCACTGGAGACCATCCCAAAACATCATCCTAGCGATTGGTGAGTACTTTGAGAAGGAGGAGAAAATTGACGAAGCAAACACATTTGTTAGAGATTTACATCGTCTTGGTCTTGCTAGCTTACCGGTATACAGATTATTACTTAGAATGCATGCACATGCCCAGAGGCCAGCTTTTGACATCTATGAAATGATGAAATTGGACAAAATTCCAGTGGATGCGGAAATTTTTAGTGAAAAAGATCAATAAAAGATGTGATCAAAGTTTTGATAGCTATTGCAGTCCTGAAAGTCTCTGCTACAGTCTTCTTCTTTTACATAAGAAGCAAATCTATTACTTTCTGTAACAACAGATCATTATACAAATCTAAAACATATAAAATGAATATGAAGAAGTAAAACAATGTCATTTCGTATTATTTCATTCAACATAATCCACCTTTCCCATCATGTCTCAACCATTATCTATGGATTTCTACAATTAAAACACAACAAACTCTAAACAGAAAACAATGATCCTTGCTCGTTTTCAGTCATTTGTCACATAGTAATAAAGCATTTTTACATTCAACACATCATTTATATAAAAAAAATTGACTCTTTGGATTTCTGGATTTCTAATTGCAGCCTTCTTCAAGTAGTCGTCAGCAAGTTTAAGAATGGTGAGTGGCCAAATATGTTTTTGTTAACCATTGAATCAGAATTTTCCGACCTGATCAAAAGCAAATCTGAGCCCCGTTTCCGCCAATCGAGGCCGTGAAGCACTGAAACCCGATGGCTTCGAGCTCCTCCACCACTTTGTCCACAACAGTCCCTAAAACCACTTCGTTTTGCAGAGAGGGGTTCAACGTCAAGGAACAAACAAAATCAAAGATTCTAGAACCTAAGTACACAAAATTAAGTTGATTGAAAATTGCTGAAAAAGGATACAAGTTGGTAATAGAGTGAGGACACAGCCGCCACCACCAGCTCCGGTCAGTTTGGAGGCCAGCTTGTGCTTGACCGTGGTTCGGATCACAGTATCGATCGAGGTATGGCTAACCCCCATCGACTGGAGCAACCCTTGGTTCATCTCCATGAGTTCTTTTATACTCTCTTCTTTCTCTGTAACCGGGGTCTCATCTTTAGATTGAATGATCGCAGCGAGCTCTTTGCTTATAGAATCCACGGCGTTGAACACCGAGTTCATTGCATCACGATGTCTAGCCGCTCTCTCTGTCACACCAGAGACCAGAGCTTTCGTGTTCCGCCCGACTCTAGTGTTGGTGATTAGCATTCTCAGAGGCATGTTGGACTGTAACCGAGTTATCTCGCCTGAGCAGAACTTGATCATGCTGCCTGCAATAAACAATCATAAAACAGAAACGTGTCTTCTCTAACATAGAATTGAACTTTGATCAGAGAATTTTGAGTTCTACAGTTAAAACAAACCGTATGCACTGACGGTGTTGTCGATCCCGGAAGGTTTCCCATGGAGGATCTTTTCACCTTCAAAAGCCCATTTATTCAGCAACTCGAGGTTGGTTTCATCGAGAGAGGACCAACCATCACAATGGGTTTTGTCTGAACTAGAAGAGGCGAGGAGAGCAGCTGTGAGAGCTACACAGAAGGCTGCTGATGAACCGAGGCCAGATCCGAATGGAAGTTCGGATGTAATGACAACCGTAGCCGGATTAAACCTAAAAGACGCAACAAGATTCAAGAAGCTGGAAAATAACATCTGAAATCCCTTTGAGCTCAAACTGTTTTCTGATAATTTTGTTACCCTAGAATGCTGGTGTATAACCATAGAAAGGTGGAGATCCCAGAGGTGAGCCAGATCTTTGCCTCTGGAATATTTTGCTCTTCAACCAAAACCGCAATTGATTTAAGGGTCTCGGCGGAACATGAAGTTGGCGTGGAACGACACAAAGTGCTTGAATCATAACGAATTGCTTCTTTGAGTCTGGCTAAGGACCAGGAAAACTCCAAGGAAATGTCCTTGAGCTGGAGCGTAAGCCTATCATTGTTCTCAGCTGTCAGAAAAAGGAAACACAATGCTTCATATTTGTTTCTACATTGAAATAGAAGAGTATAAGCAAATTACACTAAATTAACTGATACAAATTGTTTCAGTACTAAGGATCAAGTCATTTGAACTCGAATCCAGCAAGCAAGAGCGCAGAGAATGAATTAACCCATAGTTCATAGAGGGGAGACAGATACTCTAGCATCTAAATGCAATCTCAATCCCTTTTTATAATACTTTTTTTACTTGGTGCCATAAGCTTAAAAAGACAAAGACAATGTAGCATTAACATCCAAAATCTAGATTCCAAATCAAATTTTAACGAATGTAACTCATGGATCACTCACAGTTTCTGGAGGTTGGTTAGTTCTGGATCCAGTTAGCTAGAGAAACCAGAAAGCCTATATATTAAGTGAATTTGAAAGCTAGAGATCTTTTGCTAATCAATCGATTCACCGTGAGTACAATCCAATAATCACAATATTGGTGATCTCAAGGAACAATAACACCCAGGAAACAAGAAACCAAATCCTAAAATCTGTAAAAACAGGAACCTGATTGAAGCGGAAGGCGGAGAGTGACATAAGTGTAGAGATCAATGGCTGCAGCTACTGCCGTGGATCCATGGACGACCGCGTGTTCACCTGCGAGTATGATCTTCCCAGGAGCTCTCGACTTCACTTCCATTTTTCTAAATCAAACACAAAGTGAGAAGTTTTTGAGTTGACCTACATAAAACAGGATAACAAGGAAACAGAAATATTCACACCAAGAAAAGAGCTTATCCAGAATCGAGAATCCAGATTCTAGCAACATAGACACTGCTACAAAGTGGTGAATCAGATCAAAGGGAATTTGCATAACTGGGATCTGATACGGATCTGAATCAAACTAAAGATCAAAACTTTACAATTCAGATCAAAGCTAGCTCACAAGTAGAAAAAAAAACAAATCGTTCTTCCGTATAATTTCACTAATATATATCGTATCTCAGGCCAAAAGATTTGAACAGGAAAATATCAAATCTATAGACAGAAGAAACATCGTACCTGGAATTGCAGAGAGAAGAAACCTAGAAGATGAAAACTGTATGAAGCGACGACGAGCAAAGCGTATTTAATTAATTAACCAAATTGTGAGTGAACAAGAAACCAATTGTGGTTTAACTATCCCGGTTTGGAAAATTGAAGAATCTAATCGAATGTAACTCGATTCAATTTGGAAACGTTTCGTGCCCTATTTGTCTAATTAACGTGAGAATCTCATAAGAAAATCTCAGTTTGAGCTCGAATTTCATCAGAATTGATTTTCGGTTTGGTTTGGTTTACGCAAGAAGAACAGGTTCGGTTCGAAGAAACCAGAAAGACACAAAACAATCCCATACGCATTTAGCAACGGCTATTTCTTTCGTCTGTCACAAAATTGGGATTAGAAGAGAAACAAGAAGACGAAAATTGCGCAAAATGATGACTCTTCGTCTTACATCGCATCTCTATGGTGGGTTTAAACATTTGCTTAATCCACAACAAAGCTTAAAACTTTCATCGATTTCTCGAGTCTCTGTGGTGTCGCTACATTCGATTTCACATCGAACCCAGTTCCAAAGTTTGGTTGTTTGTGCAAGGAGGAAGAAAAGAGCCGGGTATGGAGGAATCGCGAGGTTTGTGGTCAAGTCACTGTCTTTACTGTCCCATAATCTCCAGATTTTACCGCAGCCGTTGGATCTTGTCATTGCTGATTT